ACACACAGATTCACTGTTATTTAAAAGCAGTTTTCATAGATAAAGCATGGTTTTTCTGTTTAGCTATTTCTTTTCTTTTTTTTTTCTTTTTGAGATGGAGTCTCACTCTTCACCCAGGCTGGAGTGCAGTGGCACAATCTTGCTCACTGCAACCTCTGCCTCCGCCTCCTGGTTCAAGCAATTCTCCTGCCTCAAGCCTCCTGAGTAGCTGAGACTACAGGCGTGTGCCACCACGCCCGGCTAATTTTTGTATTTTAGTAGAGATGGGGTTTCGCCACTTTGGTCAGGCTGATCTCGAACTCCTGACCTCAGATGCTCCACCTGCCTCGGCCCCCCAAAGTGCTGGGATTACAGGCGTGAGCCACTGCTCCTGGCCCTGTTTAGCTGTTTTTGTTTTTGTTTTTTTTTTTTTTTTGAGATGGAGTATTGCTCTGTCCCAGGCTGGAGTGCAGTGGCACAATCTCGGCTCACTGCAACCTCCGCCTCCTGGGTTTAAGCCATTCTCCTCCCTTAGCCTTCTGAGTAGCTGGGATTACAGGCGTGCACCACCACACTCGGCTAATTTTGTATTTTCAGTAGAGATGGGGTTTCACCATGTTACCCAGGCTGGTCTTGAACTTCTGAGCTCATAATCTGCCCGCCTCGGCCTCCCAAAGTACTGGGATTACAGGCGTGAGCCACCGTGCCTGGCCAGCTATTTCTTAATGGCATTGGATTGTCTTATTTTCTAAATGAAATTGGATTATTTTGCCAGGCATGGTGGCTCATGCCTGTAATCCCAGCACTTTAGGAGGCTGAGGTGGGTCAAGAGATTGAGACCATCCTGGCCGACATGGTGAAACCCTGTCTCTACTAAAAATTCAAAAATTAGCGGGGTGGGGTGGCGTGCATCTGTAGTCCCAACTACTGGGGAGGCTGAGGCAGAAGAATTGCTTGAACCCGGGAGGCAGAGGTTGCAGTGAGCTGAGATCATGCCACTGCACTCCTGCCTGGCGACAGAGCAAGATTCCGTCTCAAAAAAAAAAAAAAAATTGGATTATCTTATGATTTTATGACCATTTTCTTCTCCCTGCCTTCTCTCTTACATCTAAAGAAATACTAAGGACAGTTTCTCTTTAGAGAAGTCTTTCCTTCTCTAAACTAGCATACTGACAAGACATAGTTCAGCCACAAGTTACGGTAGGAGATGCACTTGGGTCATACAGCCTCCCAATGCACAGATGGTGACTTTTCAGTACCATCTGTTCACTGTTTCTGCACAGCCATTTACAATTTCTCCCCCTCTATGAGGGCTGAATAGAAAAAAATAGAAAAGTAGTCAGACCTAGTTTTAGAGTTCCTGGAAATTAGCTATTCTTTCCCCTCACTTTTTCCTACCATCCGATAAAGGTTATGGCTCTTCCTTCTAAATATTTCAGTCATTAGTTTACACAGACCCTTATTTGATATTTATTGGTGCTAAGTACTATGTAATTCACAAGTAACAGAAGAACACATTATGTTAGTCTACTGTGTATGCTTGAAAAAATAATCAAATAAAGCAATCTGTTCTTTCCCTTCCTTTAACTTTGTACAAGATACCTAAATAATCTATTCCTTATAATTAAAAGCTGAATCGGCTGGGCGTGGTGGCTCATGCCTGTAATCCCAGCACTTGGGGAGGCCAAGGCGATTGGATCACCTGAGGTCAGGAGTTCGAGACCAGCCTGGCCTAAGTGGCGAAACCCCGTCTCTACTAAAAATACAAAAATTAGCTGGGCATAGTGGCGCCTGCCTGTAATTCTAGCTAGACAGAATTGCTCTAACCCAAGGAGGTGGAAGTTTCAGTGAGCCAAGATCACGCCACTGCACTCCAGCCTGGGTGACAGAGTGAGACTTTGTCTAAAAAAAAAAAAAAGCTGAATCATTGGCCACTTCTCTTGTTGAAGGCACCTGGTATTTTTCTGATATTAAACAGATGGAAGCATAATAGTTGACTTTTCGCCCTCAACATGTATAGTGAAGAATGCTAAAAGCTGGCAGAAACATTAGTTCCTGACCTTGGCAAATCCTTTCTAAATTTTTCTTTGTGAGCTTTTTGTCTTCTTCATCTCCAGGCAAGACCTTTGCTTGCTGGAGGGGAGAAAGATTCACTGTAGACTGTCTAATTGTCACAACATGATGCACAGATAGCATTCCACTTACACTACCTCATAGGAGAGTTTTGACTTGTGACTAAATAGAAGACTCAAGAAGAGAAATGACTGAATGGTGTACTTACTTTTGCCCTGTGGATTTATTTGTAAAAGATCAGGATCTATTAAAATGTATAAGGTAGGGCCGTATGCGGTGGCACATGCCTGTAATCCCAGCACTTTGGGAGGCTGAGGCAGGTGGATCACCTGAGGTCAAGAGTTTGGGACCAGCCTGGCCAACATGGTGAAACCCTGTCTCTACTAAAAATACAAAAAAATTAGCCAGGCATGGTGGCATGCACCTCTAATCCCAGCTACTGTAATCTCAGCTACTTGGGAGGCTGAGGCAGGAGAATCACTTGAACCTGGGGGGCACGGAGGTTGCATTGAGCCGAGATTGCTCCACTTCACTCCAGCCTTGGCGAAAGAGCGAAACTCTGTCTCAAAAATAAATAATAATGATAAGGTAAAGAGTTTGCTTAAATACTGTCTTAGAATTATTTGCCCATGTTTGTTCTTTTTTTGGTGGATAGTCTGATGTTGACATTGTAGAACTGCGAGGCTTCCCATGTTTCTCTAGTCAGAATGTTTTCCTTTCCCTTAGTCCTCACATGTTGTTAAGACTACTTGTGTCATAATCCTGTATGATTATTGATGTGAATGATGTTTTCTTCTAAGCTTCAGAGTAACTTTGCTTCTTAATATTCTTTGTATACTATTCATATTTTAATATTGTTATCTTTCTTTCTACTTACCAGTTTTCTAATCTTTGCCATCCTTTTTATTTACATTTCCAAAGCAAGAGCTGTCATTTTTGTTGGTTATTGGAGTCACTATAGGTTATAAGTACTTTTTGGAACTCTTCTAGGTAAGATTCAGTGAAACCTTGGAAAATATCTGATAAAAATTATATGAAAGCTATGGCAGGTGCCGGGGGTATTATATATCCTTCTATGATTTCCACTTTGTTGGTTTTTTTCTCAGGGGGAGAGGGCGGCGGGGGGACATGGTCTCACTCTGTTGCTTAGGCTGGAGTGTAGTGGTGCAATCCTAACTCACTGCAGCCTGGAGCTCCTGGGCTCGAGGGACCTTCCTACTTTAGACTCTCCTTTAGCTAGGACGACAGCATGCATCACCATGCTAATTTTCCAATTTTTTGTAGAGATGGGGGTCTCACAGAAAGACTCCAAGCTGGTCTCAAACTTCTGGCCTCAAATGATCCTCCTGCCTCAGCCTCCCAAAGCACTGACATCACAGATGTGAGCTACTGTGCCCAGCCCTGAACCCCACACTGACTCATACTGTTATCCTTGAGTTAGACTTGATTGCTAAAATTTAAGAAATGAAGTAGTTTCTGTGCTCGTTTTATAAGCTGTATATGCTTTTATCTAAGGGTCTAGTTTCAGTTAGGTTTTGGAGCCTCTACAGTTTACAGTGACCAGTTGTTTGGTTATGCTGTTTATATTGGGGTAATTTCATTCTTTAAAGTAGAATGATCACGGATTGATCTTAGAAAAGGGGTAGTATCCATTTCTCCAGAATTCATACTCAGCTGATTTGGTTTTGTTTAGTCTTTAGCATATAATTATTTTTTGAGTTTCTTGTTTTATTTTATTTTTGAGACAAGATCTCGCTTTGTCACCCAGGCTGGAGTGCAGTGGTGCGATCTTGGCTCACTGCAACCTCTGCCTCCTGGGTTCAAGCAGTTCTCGTGTCTCAGCCTCCCAAGTAGCTGGGATTACAGGTGTGCACCACCATGCCTGGCTCGTTTTTGTATTTTTAGCAGAGACGGGGTTTTGCCTTGTTGGCCAGTCTGGTCTTGAACTCCTGGCCTCAGGTGATCCACCCGTTTCGGTGTCCCCAAGTGCTGGGATTACAGGTGGGAGCCACTGCACCCAGCCCTATATATATAATTGAATGTTAAAATTTGATGAATTAAGTATAATAGTCATATAATTCTTACTCTTTTCTTTTACAATTGCTTTTAATAGCATACTACCTTTCTTCACCTCTTCTATCCAGGCTTTCAAGTGTAGCACTCAAAACAGATGGATAGTTTTTCTCTTTAAAGAGAGATCATATATTTGGGGAGAAGTTTCAAGGTACAATTTATAATGATTTAACTAACATTCAACATGTGTGCTTTTTTTTTTTTTTGCTTTGAGGGTTCGTTTTTGTCTTTAAGCATAGCATAATGTCCTGTTTTATTATGATTTCATCTGAGAAATTCTGCTCAGATGAAATTTCTTACCTTTCCTCTGTGGAGTAGGCCTCCCAAGAGCAATATGCCTGGATTTCAGCCTTTGCTCACCCTTGGCCAAGCATTCTTGTGCAGCAAACAACATGAAGCACCCTGCATGGTACACATTCAGATTCCGAACTTTGTACTAATTTGGGATTGTTTTGAAAAGTCTATTAGAGCAAAAGTAACATGTATTTAAGAAAAATTATGTATATAAAAATTCTAAAACTAAAAATATAGCAGAAGAGATAAAGTAGTGTTTCTGTTGCAGGATAGTATGAAAACCTGATGAAAATAGAATTTTTACTGTAAGTATAGTATTTAAAAATTACTGGCTAGTTTATATTTTTATATAATACCTTACATTAAACTTGACTGAATTAATAATTTCTAGATAGATAGATAGATAGATAGATATTCTTTATTTTTGGATTGAGAAACAGTAGCTTATTTGCCATAACATTTAGAGCATTCTGATCCTGTAATTAATGTGTTAGTATGTCATACAAATAATTGTCTAATGCCTTTTCTTAACAGTTCTGTACATCTTGTAATTAAGCTTTCGTTTTTTCCTACTTCCTCAGGTACTTTGGTCTAGGAAGCCATATGGTTCGTCTCGAAGTATCGTAAGGAAAATTGGTACTAATTTGTCTCTGATTCAGTGTCCAAGAGTTCAGTTTCAGGTACTATATTTTATGTATTTTAAGTATTTTATTAATATGTACATTAGAAATATAAATAGGCAAGATGGTTTTAAAAGTATTTTGTTTTTGAGACTTTTTACCAATTGATGCCACTATCAGTACAATAAAAGAGGATTAAAAACCACCATTAAGCCTTTCTAATTTTAGTTTCTCTGTGAAGTGATTGAGATCTTTAAGACATTTATCCTTCTTAAGGATGCATATGTGAAGATATAGGAGCATATAATAAGCTAAGCAGTTGTTAATTCCTAGGTGACTTCAAACATAGGCTTTATATTATTTCAGGTGCTTTATGTACCACCATTATTTTTCTTCTGTAATTATACCTTCCTCTTTGGATAGCCACTCAGTTCCCCTGATTTATTTTTAGATCTCTGTGTATGCCATATAAGTTGCTTTCCCTGTCGTTGGTTTCACGCCCAGCATTAATTATGGGATCCATTGCCTCAGCAATGACAGTGTCAAGACAAAAAGGTGATTCTGGTTCTCTCAGTGAGGTGATAGTCAAACCATGAGTTAGAACTTTTGAAAGTCTTAGTCTTAGAACTTTTGAAGGTCTTAGTACAGTATTCTCTTTTAGCACCAAATCTGGAGCAACTCTGTTCTTTGCTTGGAGATATTGCTATTTTCCTTGATTTGTACTTTTGTTCCTTTCTTTTTTTTTTTTTTTTGAGATGGAATCTTGCCTGTTGCCAGGCTGGAGTGCAGTGGCAAGATCTCAGCTCACTGCAGTCTCTGCCTCTTAGGTTCAAGCACTTCTCCTGCCTTAGCCTTCCGAGTAGCTGGGACTACAGGTGCACACCACCACACCCAGCTGATTTTTGTGTTTTTAGTAGAGACGGGGTTTCACCACGTTGGCCAGGATGGTCTTTATCTCTTGACCTTGTGATCTCCCCATCTTGGCCTTCCAAAGTGCTGGGATTACAGGCGTGAACCACTGTGCCTGGCCTTGTTTCTTATTGTTATTATAGTATTCGACATTTATCACATAACTTTGTTCTTTTTTTTTTTAGTAATTCTTTACAACCGTAATGTAACAACATTTCAGTTCAACATTGAATAATATAAAATTCAATAGATATCTCTGCCACTTTTAAATAATAGATTAACATGTGGAGATGTGGAGGATGTATTTAACTCATTCAGAAGTTCAGAAGTGCCCACATGTACCCGTTTGATAACATGTCATGTTCTTAAATCACTCCTCCTGATAAATGGAGGTGAAATTTGTTTCTTTTTCTTTTCTTTTTTTTTTTTTTTTGAGAGAGAGTCTTGCCCTGTTGCCCAGGCTGGAGTGCAGTGGCGTGATCTCGGTTCACTGCAACCTCTGCCTCCCAGGTTCAAGCGATTCTCCTGCCTCAGTCTCCTGGAAAATCGATTTCTAAATAAGTGGTAGAAATGAGCATTTATTCAGGTTGACCTGTGTGGTAGAAATTAGCATTTATTCAGGTTGACTGACAAGATTGTTCATTGCTGTGTTTTATAATCCTGCTCACAGATTGACTGGCTAAACCTTTGTGCATCAATCTAGAAATGGATAGACTGGAGCTGGGCGCATGGCTCACTCCTGTAATCCCAGCACTTTGGGAGGCTGAGGCAGTTAGGAGTTCAAGACCAGCCTGACCAATATGATGAAACCCCGTCTTTACTACAAGTACAAAAATTAGCCAGGTGTTGTGGCACACACTTGAAATCCCAGCTACTCAGGAGGCTGAGGCAGGAGAATCACTTGAACCCGGGAGGCGGAGGTTGCAGTGAGCCGAGATCATGCCAGTCCACTCCAGCCTGGGTGACAGAGTGAGACTCCGTCTCAAAAAGAAAATAGAAAGAAATTGACAGATTGGAACTTTCCAAGAAGTAATTTTTTATTTCAGTCTAGGCTTTAAAAAAAAAGAAAAAAAAACTCATGAAGTCAAACATGCAGAGCCTTATTTATATATTTATTTATTTAATTGAGAGGGAGTCTCGCTTTTGTCGTCCAGGCTGAAGTACAGTGATGTGATCTTGGCTCACTGCAACCTCTGCCTCCTGGGTTCAAGCCATTCTCCTGCCTCAGCCTCCTGAGTAGCTGCGATTACAGGTGCCTGCCACCACGCCCAGCTAATTTTTGTACTTTTAGGGGAAATGGCGTTCACCATGTTGGCCAGGCTGGTCTCAAACTCCTGACCTCAGGTGATCTGCCCATCTCTGCCTCCCTAAGTGCTGAGATTACAGGTGTGAGCCACCACGCCTGGCTGCCTTTTTCCTTTTTAATAATCAAAATGAAGAAATCTGTGGTAGTAAGTCTCTCAAGTACTTTCCAAGAATTCAGTTCATTTAGACATGAACTGCTGCTTATTTGCCAGTTTCCTTCAAATAGCTATTATGTTAACTAAGGTTTATAAACTTTTTTCTGATTGTTCAATTCCATCAGTTTCTTTCTAGTTAACTATCTTACCTCCCTCCTAGTTCCAGGAAAACTTACTTCAGCGTTTGCGTTCGTATAGCTAGAGACATGGAGATATCTAACGTTTTCTGATTGCAACTCCCAAGTCTGCCTTGACAGTCAATGGGCTGAAGTACTAGAGTCACGTACATGTACTTGGGAGAATTCTCTTTCTGGATGTTATCAGTCTATTAAAAGGATATGAGCAGAAAAAGAGGATTCTATTTAACTCATTTGAACTGCATTTGAAAAGAAATGGATTAACATAAGGAGAAGAGTAAGGTAAAAGAAATATTGATGACCTACTTGAGAATGTAGTAGAGACGGAAGCCATTTGCTTATAGTGAGATTTTTATTTCCAGGTATACTGAATCTTTTTTTTTTTTTTTTGAGACAGAGTTTCGCTCTTGTTGCCCAGGCTGGAGGGCAATGGCGTGATCTTGGCTCACTGCAACCTCCGCCTCCCGGGTTCAAGCAGTTCTCCTGCCTCACCCTCCCAAATAGCCGGGATTACAGGCATGCGCCACCATGCCCAGCTAATTTTGTGTTTTTAGTAGAGATGGGGTTTCTCCATGTTAGCCAGGCTGCCCTCGAACTCCCGACCACAGGTGATCATCTGTCTCGGCCTCCCAAAATGCTGGGATTACAGGCGTGAGCCACCGTGCCCGGCCCATACTGAGTCTTTTTAAATTCAACATCGGTGTTAAAGTATTCTGTCTGGTGGCCGGGCACAGTGGCTCACACTTACAATCCCAGCACTTTGGGAGGCCGAGGTGGGTGGATCACCTGAGGTCGGGAGTTTGAGACCAGCCTGGCCAACGTGGAGAAACCCTGTATCTACTGAAAATACAAAATTAGCTGGGCGTGGTGGCGCATTCCTGTAATCCCAGCTACTCGGGAGGCTGGGGCAGGAGAATCACTTGAACCTGGGAGGTGGAAGTTGCTGTGAGCTGAGATCGCACCAATGTGCTCCAGCCTGGGCAGTAAGAGTGAAACTCTGTCTCAGAAAAAGAAAAATAAAAAGTATTTTGTCTGCTACTTAGTTAAATGTTTTACATATGCTATCATCCTTCTGTATCTCCATTGCTTCTTTATCAGAAATATAAAAGATGTAGTCTTCAAAATGTATAGAGGATGCAGTTTTGAGTAATAATATTGAAAATGCATTTTCCCCCCTATTTTTATAGCTCAATTTAGGGACTAATTGACGTGGAATATATCCAGGCTATCTGGGAGTCCAGTGTGGGTAAATATTATTATTGAAAGTCTGAGACTGGGAGTCTACTGTGGGGCACAGGGCAAGTGGACATCATTATACTGAGACCATATCCAAGTTGAAGTGGATTAAACTGAGAACAGGACAGTCATGGGGTCAATTCAGAAAGTGAAGTTGGTTAGTCAAAACCAGTCTTCCCATTGTCTTCGGTGATTTCACTGTCTTTTGGAGAACCCATCTGAAATGCAGCCTCCTTTTTCTTTGCTTCCTCTACTTCTGTTGACTTTCACTTTCATTCCTTTCCTAGTATTTGCATCACTGGCAACAGCTCAACCCTGTCAGCCTTGAAACCGTTTCACCTTTGAAATTTTAGACCTCAGTATATTCCTTCTAGATCATAGCGTCTCCTCCCTGTGCTAGCTAACCCATGTATCTTTGGTCAAGAAAGACTCTTATGTAAATGATAGGCAGTACAGGCACATTCCTTTGTGTTTTGAGCATTAGATGAGATTATCCATGTGAAGTCCTGGGTATAATGACTCATACATAGTGAGTGCAGAGTAAAAGTACTACTGCTAGTAGTGGTTTTGTTATTATCGTTATTGCCCTTTTATAGTTACAGAGCAAATTATCTTACTTGGTTTTCTAATTTAACTCCTTTGGGAGGGGGGCAAGGGATAAAAGACAGCATATATGGTGCAGGGTATACTGCTTGCGTGATGGGTGCACCTGGATCTCACAAATCACCACTGAAGAACTTACATAACCAAATGCCACCTGTACCCCAATAACTTATAGAAAAGTAAAATAATAATAAATAATTTAACTCCTTTGTTTTACAGATTGGATTTCTGTATATTTTATAGGGTCACAAATCAGAACACATACCAGCACATTTAGTCACACCTTCATCCAATTAATGGGCACAGTGACTATTGTGCTGGCAATAAAATGAGGTGACATATGTAAAAAGCCCTATAAAAGACACCCAATACATGTTTCTTTGCTGTGTTATTGAAGAACAGCCTATAACCTCATAGGATTTATTACTTCTCCTGTACTTCAGTTAGCTCTAGGAATTAATTGGCTAATTTATACTCAAAACAGATCTCTAGACCCTTCACATTTACTTTGGTTGAAGAAAGCTAACTTCCCCTGGCCCTTTTCTACCTTTCACATGTGTGCATTTCAGCACACCTACACACTTGTGGCCGTAAGTGTTTAGTGTTTTTGGATATCATTTTCCTTGTGGAGGTAGGAACTAGATTAAGACACACTAGGAGAACAGACCCTTCTTTGTCTCCTAGTTCTATTCTAGATTCATGACATCTAAAGAAAATTCAGTTCATGGAGGGGCTTGCAAAAGCAGTAAACTCTGGGGGATAAGGAGGAGTGGGATGCAGAGGTTTTAATTTGCAGTGTTTTTTTTTTTTTTTTTTTTTTTGAGACAGAGTCTTGCTCTGTCACCCAGGCTGGAGTGCAGTGGCTCGATCTCAGCTCACTGCAACCTCTGCCTCCTGAGTTCAGGCGATTCTTTGTCTCACTCTCCCGAGTAGCTGGGATTACAGGCGCGCACCACCACACCTGGCTAATTTATTTATTTTGGATTTATTTTTTTGAGATGGAGTTTCGATCTTGTTGCCCAGACTGGAGTGTAATGGCGTAGTCTCAGCTCACAGCAACCCTCACCTCCCGGGTTCAAGCGATTCTCCTGCCGTAGCCTCCCAAGTAGCTGGGATTACAGGCATGCGCCACCACACCCAGCTAATTTTGTATGTTTAGTAGAGATTCACCAGATTCTCCAGGCTGGTCTTGAACTCCTGACCTCAGGTGATCCACCCGCCTCCGCATCCCAAAGTGCTGGGATTACAGGCATGAGCCACCATGCCCATCCTGTAGTGGTTCTTAACACTGGACACATATAAATCGTCAGGAGAGTTAAAAAAACAAAACAAAACAAAACAAAACAAAACCCATGCTCAGGCCTCATCCTCCAGTGTGGCTCTATATGCTTCCCTACCTCTGTACTAAAATTCTTAGGGAGCTTTTAAAGAAATCCAGGTCCTGTTTAATAGCTTACTAAATCTGAATTTCATGTATTTGTTTTTTAAAACCTCTTCAGGATCCTATGCAGCTAAAGTTGAGGACCTTAGACATAGTTTTGTTTTAGTGTTTTGCTACAGAAAGTTTGTGTTTACCAACACATTTAAACAGTGACATATTATCTTTTGGCAATTGTAAGTATTCACTAAAGCACTTTTGGGGTACATTTTAACGTATTTTAAGTTGTATGAATTAAAGAGACACATGGAATGTAAGTGTAGTATATTGGGGTATTACTACATTTAAAAAAAAAAAAACCTTAAGGCAAAATACCCCCAAATATGTGATTCTGAGTACTACCAAGTGAAGTACTTCAGAATAACCTGGGTTGGGGACTTGGCTGTGTGGTTATAGTAGTTTGAATACCAATACTATTGAGTAATTTCACCTTTTTCTCTCTGGTAAACCTAACCCAAGCTATTTTCTTGGACTGCAAGCAGTGGTTTTTGGAATTGGTGGAAAGGACTGTTCAGTAACCAAAAGAGTAATGAATGAGATTCCTACTAAAGCTCATACACGGTGATTAAATCTGGAAGTAAAATGGCCATTTGTTATGGCACATCTTTATATAGCAAGTAAACTTGAAATTCATACTTTATGCTAGGTGTTGGTATTGAATGGTGAATGAAACAGACATGTATGTCTGCCCTTATTGGTTATGTGATTCAGTGGGAGAGATACTTAAAAAGTCAATATGCTAATAAAGATATAATTATCATTTGTAATAAATGTCATATAGTATGAAGTAGTATAGCATGGGGGAGAATATCAGGAGTTCTCAGGGAAGGCCTCTCTAAAGGAATGACAAGGATTACAAAGAGCCTGCTCTACAGGGTTGAGGAGACAAGTAGAGGTTGAGGGAGTCATTGTGTGCAGAGAGAATAGCATGTGCAGAGATCCAAAGGCCAGATATAAATTGTTTGAGGAACCAAGAGAAGGTTCCAGTCAGTCAGGAGCTATTAAAGTGGGAGACTTAGTAGTATGGTATAGTGATCTTTGAACATCTGAGCTGTCTGAAGATGCATACCTGGATTAATATGTAAAATAACTGTTAAATTTAACCACGTGTTTCAATAACTACTAGATAATTTGGAATATGCTAGCATGTGATGTCATACTGTATATGATGTTCATTTTTTGTTATTTTTAGCTATAATTTTATAGTCAGCCCTTAAAGATTACTGAATTCAGCTACCAATAGTATGTTTCATAAATCTGGCATTGTGGGGCCCAGCGCAGTGGCTCACACCTATAATCCCAGCACTTTGGAAGGCCGAGGTGGGCGGATCACCTGAGGTTAGGAGTTCAAGACCAGCTTGGCCAACGTGGTGAAACCCCATCTCTACTAAAAATAGAAAAATTAGCCAGGCATGATAGCTAGTGCCTATAATCCCAGCTACTTAGGAAGCTGAGGCAGGAGAATCACTTTAACCTGGGAGGCAGAGGTTGCAATGAGCCGAGATCACGCTACTGCACTCCAGCCTGGGCGAAAGAATGAGACTCCATCTCAAAAAAAAAAAAAAAAAAAGGCATTGTGAAATAGTAGTTTTGAGACTAACTGAATATGGCACGGTGGCTCATACCTATAATCTCAGCACTTTGGGAGCCCAAGGTGGGCTGATCACCTGAGGTCAGAATTTGACACCAGCTTGGCTAATGTGGTGAAAACCTGTCTCTACTAAAAATATAAAAATTAGCCAGGCGTGGTGGCAAGTTCCTGTCATCCCAGCTACTTAGGAGGCTGAGGTAGGGAGAATTGCTTGAACCCAGGAACTGGAGGTTGTAGTGAGCCAAGATCACACCACTGCACTCCAGCCTGGGCAACAGAGCAAGACTCCGTCTCAAAAAAAAAAAAAAAAAAAGTAACCAACAAATGTTTGTGGCCATTTTATTCATCTCAGGCAGTTGATCTCTTAAAGACTTGTATTTCCACAAGGATACTGCTGCTTACCCTTAAAGATTATTTTCAGAAATACACACATTTTCCTCCCTCTGGTGGCTTTGTTCTCTTGCCTTCTACTATTCTAAGTGTGTTATATATGGAAACTTTTAATAAATGTTCACTTAAAATAGTGACCATGCAAGAGATACATTTACAACATGGTAACTATAGTTAACAGCAATGTGTTGTTTATTGAAAATCACCGAGAGAGTAGATTTTAAGTGTTTTCACCAGAAAAAATAAGTACGTGAGGTAATCCAATTCAATTGAACCACTGCACATATTTCAAACATAATAAATATATACAACTTTGTCATTTTAAAGAATACATTTTTAAAAAGTAATCACATTCAGAAATAGTAGTGACTGAGTCTGGGCTAGAATATTGAATTTAGTGTTCCGTCTTTCAGACTAGTGTTCTTTTCACAGGCATATCACCTGGCAAGTTGATGGTGTCACTGTATGTCACTATACTGTATTAAAATACAGAAATTCTGCTAGGCGCAGTGGCTCACGCCTCTAATCCCAGCACTTTGGGAGGCTGAGGCAGGCAGATCACGAGGTCAGGAGATCGAGACCATCCTGGCTAACACGGTGAAACCCCGTCTCTACTAAAATTACAAAAAATTAGCCGGGCGTGGTGGTGGGCACCTGTAGTCCCAGCTGCTTGGGAGGCTGAGACAGGAGAATGGTGTGAACCCGGGAGGCGGAGCTTACAGTGAGCCGAGATTGCGCCACTGCACTCCAGCCTGGGCGACAGACTGAGACTCCGTCTCAAAAAAAATAAAAAAGAAAAACCAAAACCAGAATTTCAGAGGTTTTTTTTGTTTGTTTTTTAAGATGAAATCTCACTCTGTCACCCAGGCTGGAGTGCAGTGGTGTGATCTCGGCTCACTGCAACCTCAGCCTCCTGGGTTCAAGCAATTCTCCTGCATCAGCCTCCCAAGTAGCTGGGATTATAGGTACTTGCCACCCCGCCCAGCTAATTTTTGTATTTTTAATAGAGTTGAGGGTTCACCATGTTGGGCAGGCTGGTCTCAAACTCCTGACCTCAAGTAATCCACCCACCTGAGCTTCCCAAAGTGCTGAGATTACAGGTGCGAGCCTGTAATCTCATTAAGAATATGTATATGTGGGCCAGGCGTGATGGCTCACACCTGTAATCCCAGCACTTTGGGAGGCCGAAGCGGGTGGATCACTTGAGGTCAGGAGTTTAAGACCACCCTGGCGAACATGGTGAAACCCCGTCTCTATTAAAAATACAAAAATTAGCCAAGCATGGTGGTGGGTGCCTGTAATCCCAGCTACTTGGGAAGCTGAGGCAGGAGAATTGCTTGAACCTGAGAGGTGGAGGTTACAGTGACCTGAGATCGCACCACTGCATTCCGGCCTGGGCAACAGAACAAGACTTGGTCTCAAAAACAAACAAACAAACAAACAAACATACAAAGAATCCATGTATGTTATGCATTTGACTATAAACAAATGGTAGTAAACTAGAATGAGTGTAATTTACTATTATGCCCTTTGCAGCAAATCCTAGTTCCCAGTACTGTGTGTTTATTTTACGAAGTCACAAGAGGATGAAGTTAGTACTCCTAACATTTTTATTCTAAGCTTTCCTACTATTGTACAACATTTGTATTTTACTAATATGCACTTTATGAAATGAACTGAATTTTTTTTGGTATATTACATTATCAGAATATTTTAAATTAAAGTGGCTTCAGTAAGATTTCTAAAATAAAATTGAATTTTGGGTAACTTGGTGTTATTATTAAATTTTTGCTCTGAATGAAATGCGATTTTGAAAAAAAATTTCTATCTCTTCACTTTTTTTTTCTTTTTCCACTGGCAATAGCTGTAGTAGGACAGGACCTTGCTGGGAACCTTCAGTAAGTTGTCCTTTTCTTTGTCAAACTTTCCATCGGTCATCTATGCATGTCGTGGTGTCTACATCGTATTTCCAAGAATTTCTTAATGTCAGTCCTTGCCAGGGCTGACTTCATCTTGACTTGTACTTTACTAAGTGCATTGTCCTGGAAATTGTCCTTTGTGTCCCATGCCTGTGTCACTCAATGAATGCTTCCTTCACCAACACCTGAAATGGCCTTTTATAAAGATTTTTTTCTGGTTTTATTTTGTCTTTTGAATGAGTTTGACTTAAATGCCAAAACTATTTTGTTTTGTGGGACAGGATGTCAAGTAGAAATGACATACATCTTATCAGTTTTGGAATTGGTTCTTGAGAGCATCATTAACATTTTCATCTTATTGAGCACATATTATGGACATGGTATCATTTACATAATTAAGGCTTAAGTAAGATCCAAATTAAGTCCGTGGAATAGTTTATCTTGTTGTTTTGTTTCTTAAAAGTTTGTGCAAAAGCTGGCATTTTATGTTTAGCATACTAATTTTATGGAGGCATTATTTAATTTTATAGATGTAAAATTGAGAAATGTGTTTAATCCTTAATAACTATTTATGATATCCTGAAAATGAATTAACTTCTATTTCTTTGATTATGTATTCTTAGAAAAGTAGTAGTAGTGGCTGGGCGTGGTGGCACATGCCTATAATCCCAGCACTTTGGGAGGCCAAGGTGGGTGGATCCCCTGAGCCCAGGAATTTGAGAACAGCCTGGGCAACATGGCGATATCCCCCCCATGTCTACCAAAAATACAAAAGATGAACCAGGTGTGGTGGCATGCGTCAGTAATTCTGGAGGCTGACGCAGGTGAATCGCTTGAACTTGGGAGGCGGGAGGTTGCAGTGAGCCAAGATGGTTCCACTGCACTCCACCCTGAGTGACAGAGTGAGACCTGATCTCAACAACAACAAAAAAGAAAAGTAGTACTTTGTTTTTTTGATTTGTTTTTCTTTTTTTCTTCCCTCCTCCCCACACTTTGTTTCCTTTTATAGATGTTTTGAAGAAAACAGCTATTTTTGTAACCTCTGTAAGAAAGTAAGAAGTCTTTGTCTTAAATATACCTAACTTTCTACCAACTAGTCATTATATTGGAACAGAATTTTTATTTCTGAACAAAGGGTCATGATCAGATTGATCATCTCATGAATTAGCACCTCAGGAAGGCACCATTCAGATTTTAGTCTTAGGATTTGTCTAACACTTGTACAAAACAGCCCATTAAATACCATCTCCGCTAGGAGCCTCACAGGGCTTAGGAACATTCCTGCTGAAGGATAGCCACATAACCCACTTAGAATCTCCTTATTACAGTGTTATGGGAATATCAGGATACCATTCTGTTTTCAGTAATGGGTAGGAACAGAACATTACCTGATTTCTCAACTCTTGAGATCAAATATGATACCCAGTTATGTTATTTAAGTTGTATGAGATACTGATTTGCTAAATATCTGTTTGGATAAGTTTCTGAACTACATAGGGAGAAGTACAGAAATCATCCCTTTGATCTTATACCTTGAGAATTTACTTACTGAAGTTTATACTTTTTTCCTCATCTGACTACAAATTACTTCCACTACATACAAATTAGTATTTTGAAAGCCTTTTTATCATAATTTCATTATTAGGTTTATTTGTTTTTGTTTTTGTGGAGGGCAAGATTTTAAAATTTCTATTTTTTGAGAGAGCCTCACTCTGTTGCCCAGGCTGGAGTGTGGTGGTATGATCACGGCTCACTGCAGCCTCTGCCTCCTGGGTTCAAATGATTCTCCCACCTCAGCCTCTCGAGTAGCTGTGACTACAGGCGCACGCCACCACGCCTGACAAATTATTTTGTATTTTTAGTAGAGATGGATACTTCGCCATGTTGCCCAGGTTGATCTCAAGTTACTGGGGCCTCAAGCCATCCACCATCTTGTCCTCACAAAGTGCTGGGATTATAGGCGTGAGCCACCGCACCTGGCTGAATTTAAGGTGCTTTAGATACTCGATGTTCTTAGTACTTTATTGTTAACATTTTTTGTGTGTGTGTGTGACCGAGTCTTGCTCTGTCACCCAGGCTGGATTGCAGTGGCGCGATCTCAGCTCACTGCAACCTCTACCTCCCAGGTTCAAGTGATTCTCGTACCTCAGCCTCCCTAGTGGCTGGGGTTACAGGCTCCTGCCACCATGCCCGGCCCTTAAAATGTTATTTTTAATGCCACTTTATTAAGTTGATTAGATGATCATACCAGAAGAGTACACATACCAACAGCTGATATGTTTAACGTTTTATTCATAATATTACTTTGAAGATATTTTAAACTGTCAACAATGTTAGTATTATGTGTCTGCATGATATATTTTGTGTTTAAGGAAGAGGCATTATTTAAATATATTTTCCAAAAGTTTGACTTGGCAATGATGGCATTGAGGAGGTTTGAACAATGCATGAGTCCCAAGGGTAACTTTTTGATAAACATATTAATGACTAAATCTCTTTGGCCTTTTCATTTTTTCCTTAATTAAAAAGTGTGGATTGATTTTCTTTTTTATTTAAACCTCACTCACACTTTTAGGAAGTATTAATCCGATAACTTTATTTAAAAGTTATTATTTGTTGACTTTTTGACTCAGGCATTATTATATGTATAATGAAATGTAAATTTAACTTAGTTATCTTTCTTGTTTTTCAAGATAAGTTTCAAGATATCCTGCTTGTCTTTTTTTTTTTTTTCTTTTTCTTTTTGAGACCATCTCACCCTGTCACTCAGGCTAGAGTGCAGTGGTGCAATCTCGGCTCACTGCAACTGCTGCCTCCCGGGTTCAAGCAATCCTCAAACCTCAGCCTCTTGAGTAGCTAGGATTACAGGTGTGTGCCACCATGCCTGGCTAATTTTTTTTGTATTTTCAGTAGAGATGGGGTTTCACCATGTTGGCCAAGCTGGTCTCAAACTCCTGACCTCAAGTGATCTGCCTGCCTTGGCCTCCCAAAGTACTGGGATTGTAGGCAGGAACCACCGCACCTGTCTTTTTTTTTTTTTTTTTTTTGGTATTTATTTCAAAATATTCTTTGTTTGCATCCATGTTAAGTTTAGGTAGAGAATTCTGTTCTGCTGTTTGTTCTTTTGTTCTTTAATACTTTTACTTAAAATGTAGGAGATTTAAGGAGTTTTAAAAACCATTTTCAACATTATAATGTATACATATATAAAAACATTATAACAAAAGTTATATAATAGCCATTTAGAAATATTTCTGGATTTAGCTCAAATTGGTCTTTTGCTTGTTCTTATTTTCTTCCCCCGAGACAGAGTCTTGCTCTGCCACCCAGGCTGGAGTATAGTAGCACGATCTCGGCTCACCGCAACCTCTGCCTGCTGGTTTGCTTGTTCCTATACCCCACTGCTTACACATACCTTTTAAAATCTCTTTAGAAAAAAGTGGTTTCTCATGCTTAGATTCTAAAATTTTTCTTAATTTTCTAGGATAGTTTTTTAAAAAATCAACTTATAGGCTGGGCGCGGTGGCTCATGTCTATAATCCCAACACTTTGGGAGGCCAAGGCGGGCGGATCACAAGGTCAGGAGTTCTAGACCAGCCTGGTCAACATGGTGAAACCCCATCTCTACTAAAAATACAAAAATTAGCCGGGCGTGGTGGTGCGCGCCTATAGTCCCAACTACTCAGGAGACTGAGGCAGAAGAATCACTTGAACCCGGGAGGCGGAGGTCGCAGTGAACCAAATATCGAGCCACTGCACTCCAGCCTGGGTGACAGAGCTAGACTTCATCTCAAAACAAACAAACAAACAAAAAACAACTTACAAAATGAAAACCGAATAAACTTAAATTATAGTTCTGCAATTGTCATATACTGTTAGGCAACACTATGATTATGACTATTAATCATAGAGACCTTCAGTGGAAGAGTTAGAAACCACTCGTGTTTTTAACAGCAGAGCTGACGATTTTCCTTTAGGTGAGTAAAAAAAAATTTATTCTTAACATTTTGGTGCCAGATGAAGAACTTTCCCTATTTGTAACTTGTAGATTAACAGCCATGCAACAGAATGGAGTCCCAGCCACCCAGGAGAGGATGCAGTGGCTTCTTTTGCTGATGTTGGATGGGTAGCCAAAGAAGAAGGAGAATGTTCAGCAAGACTAAGGTTAGTTTGGAAGGCTATTAGAACTGAGATGCATTATCTGTTTTTTTAAAGAATGATATTATTTGCAGTACTTACTTTTAATAGCCTAATTTTATCTCTAGTAATGCACCCTCTTCTTTTTCTTGAATAGTCTTCTTTTCTATTTATTTTCCTTTTTATCTGAGAGGGTTTCGTTCTGTTTTTCAGGCTGGAGTGCAGTGGTGTGATCTTGCCTCACTGCAGCCTTGACCTCCCAGGCTCTTGTGATTCTCCCACCTTAGCCTCCCAAGTAGCTGGGATCACAGGCATGCACCACTAACCCCCGCTAATTTTTTTTTTTTTTTTGAGATAGAGTCTTGTTCTGTCACCCAGGCCCTAGTGCAGTGGCGTGATCTCGGCTCACTGCAACCTCCAACTCACTGGTTCAAGTGATTTTCCTGCTTCAACTTCCTGAGTAGCTGGGACCACAGGTGTGCGCCTCCATGCCCAGCTAATTTTTGGATTTTTAGTGGAAACGGGATGTCACCATGTTAGCCAGGCTGGTCTCGAACTCTTGACCTCAGATGATCCACCCGCCTCAGCCTCCCAAAGTGCTAGGATTACAGAGGTGAGCCACCACGCCCAGCCTATTTTTGTATTTTTTTTGTAGAGATGAGTTTTCACCATGTTGCCTAGGCTGGTCTGTTCATTTTCAAGACTTGGCTAGTATTTTTAAAGTTTTTAGAGACATGTAATTATGTCCTAAGTCCTCATGGACAGAATTCCTTGTCCTTCAGCAGTTTACATTCTAATATAAGAGACCAGAAAGAATGATCATTAATAATTTAGATAAGTACAGTAATTACAAAGGTCTCACTGGGGCAAAGGGATCCATCTGGATCATAGTAGAGAATTTTTGTGTAATTGGAGAATGTTTCCTAAAAATTTTGAGTCAAAAGGAGATTAAGAAGGAAATCAATTGATACTGTAAAGTCTACAAAGTAATTACAGATGGTCACTGCAGGATGAGAGATGTTCGGCAAGACTTCTCAGGAGGAAATGCTAGAGCTCCATCATGAGGCTGAGTGGGAGCCAAGTAAATGGAAGGCTGGTATTCCTGGAAGAGTAAAGAACTTGTTTTAAGGTAATACCAGGAGACATTGTGGCATGTTTGGGAACTGCCAGATGGCTCAGTGAGTCTAGAGAGCAGAAAAGAAGGATACACTGTAGGAGATGAGGATGAGAAGTAGGTTGAGGTTTAAAAGTCTTACACGTGACACTAAGAAACATAGAAAAGTTCACGTTTGTGGAAAGCAATATAGAACCTGAAAGCAGTGTGGAACCATGGAAGAAATTTGAGCACTAGTAAAACCAACGTGTAAACAGTATGAAGAATAGAAAAGAAGGCCGGGTATGGTGGCTCACACCTGTAATCCCAGCACTTTGGGAGTCCGAGGAAGGTGGATCATGAGGTCAGGAGATCGAGACCATCCTGGCTAACACAGTGAAACCCTGTCTCTAATAAAAATACAAAAAAAAATTAGCCAGGCGTGGTGGCGCATGCCTGTAGTCCCAGCCTCACGGGAGGCTGAGGCAGGAGAATGGCTTGAACCTGGGAGGCAGAGCTTGCAGTGAGCCAAAATCACGCCACTGCACTCCACACTCCAGCCTGGGTGACAGAGCGAGACTCCGTCTCAAAAAAAAAAAAAAGAGCCAGACTAAGAGATAGACCAACTAGGAGATGATCAGAATTTAACTGAATTAAGAAACTGGCAGAAGAGGTTCAAAGTTAAATGAGATTCAGAATAATTAAAATGACATAGAATAATTAAAATGACATAGAAACTTATTAGATATGGAGATTAAGGAAGGAAGAGCCTACAGAGTCAGAGTCTAGTTATCCTAAATTCTCAGGTTTCCATCTAGGATAAATATAAGGATGGTAAAACAATTTTTTTTTTTTTTTTTTTGAGACGGAGCCTCTCTTGGTTGCCCAGGCTGCAGGCTGGAGTGCAGTGGCGCTATCTTGGCTCACTGTGACTCCCACCTCCCGGGTTCAGTCGATTCTCTTACCTCAGCCTCCCGAGCAGCTGGTATTACAGGTGCCCGCCATGATGCCCAGCTAATTTTTGTATTTTTAATAGAGACAGGGTTTCACAACATTGGCCAGGCTGGTCTTGAACTCCTGACCCCAGGTGATCCACCTGCCTTGGCTTCTCAGAGTGCTGGGATTATAGGCATGAGCCACTGCGCCCAGCTGTAATTTATACGAATGTAGGAAAACAGATTGTTTTGGCTGAGGAGAATAAGAGAGGGCAGTCTAGTCTAGAATATATTATGTTTGAGTTTTCTGTGAGATATTCACCTTGATCTAGAAACAGTTTATGTGAATAGATATTGGTAAGGAAGGCCTATAGTCTATAATATTTAGATAGAATGGCTGAATATGAGAGTGCCCAAGAAGCATGTATAGAACGTGAAGAGCATTTGTACCTTGAGTGAAACCAGCATTTTGAAGTTAAAGGAAAGAAAAAGCCTCCTCCCCTGATCACCCTCCCTGCCCCCTGCCCCCCACCCAACCCATCACCCAAAGAGCAGCTAAGAGGCAGGAGAAGACCTGGTAGAGGGTATTGTTATGGAAGCAGAGGAGGTAGAGTTTTTATAGAAGAGGAGTGGTGATCAGTGTCAAATACTTAGAGGCTGAGTAAATAGAAAAACTAGCACGTTTCAATTTTGTTTTTCAGTTGGAAGATTATCATTGACTTTAGCAAGAGTAATTTCATTTGAGTGGTATTAGCTGGATAAAATAAGAATCAAATAATCCAAGAGCAAAGAAGGAACTTGATTTGAGTGACAAGTAGAAATAAGGACATAGCAGTAGATAAACACAGGGATTGCAGGATTAGCAGGTAAAGAGCCTTTCTTTTTTAAGATGTTTATTTTATTTAAACTTTTTATTTTGAGACAATTGTAGATTCTTCACATGTATAAGAAACAATACAGAGAAATTCCACATGCTTTTCACTCAGTCTCCTTCAATGGTAACATTCTGCAAAACTATAGTACAGTATCACAGCAGGGTATTGATGTTGATAAGGCAAGATGCAGGACATTTCCATACTACAGAGATCCTCCACTTGCCCTATTATGGCCACACGTACTTCTCTTCCATCCCCAACCTCAACTCCTTCTTAATGACTAGCACCTACTAATCTGTTCATTTTAACTATTTTATCATTTAAAGAATGTTAAATACATTGAATCATGTAATATGTAACCTTTTTTTTTTTTTTTTTTTGAAACAGAGTTTCGCTCTGTCACCCAGGCTGGAGTGCAGTGATGCAATCTTGGGTTACTGCAACCTCTGCCTCCTGAGTTTAAGCAATTCTCCTGCCTCAGCCTCCCAAGTAGCTGGGGTTACAGGTATGTGCCACCATACCTGGCTAATTTTTGAATTTTTAGTGTATGCGGGATTTCACCATGTTAGCCAGGCTGGTCTTGAACTCCTGGTCTCAAGTGATTCATCTGCCTCGGCTTCACAAAGTGCTGGGATTACAGGCGTGAGCCACTGTGCCTGGCCAATGTGTAACCTTTTAGGACCGGCTTTTCTTTTTTGGAGGCAGAGACTCCGTCTGTCACCCAGGCTGGAGTGCAGTAGTGTGATCTCGGCTCACTGCAACCTCTGCCTCCCAGGTTCAAGCGATTCTTCTGCCTCAGCCTCCCAAGTAGCTGGAATTACAGGCGCTTGCTAATTTTTGTATTTTTAGTAGAGACGGGGTTTCACCATGTTGGCCAGGCTGGTCTTGAACTCCTGACCTCAGGTTATCTACCTGCCTCAACCTCCCTAAGTGCTGGGATTACAGGCGTGAGCCACCGCGCCTGGCCAAACAAAGGCGTCTCTCCGAGCCAGAATCTAAGAATCTAACCAGCACCTAAGGATGGCCATAGGCGTGCACCTATAGTCCTCCGCTCTACCAGCTGAGCTGTTGAAGGGGGCGGGACTGGCTTTTTAAACTCAGCATTGTTCTCTGGCTGTTCATCTAAATTGTTGTGTGCATCAAGAACTTGATCCTTTTTAATTGCTCAGTAGTAGTCATTGGTATGGATGTATTACAGTTTGTTTAATCATACAGTAATTGATGGACATCTAGTTTGATTCCAGTTTTTGGCTGTTAAAGTTAGGATATAAACATTTGTGTATAGGTTTTTGAGTGACTATAAGTTTTCGTTTTTCTGAGATAAATGTCTTTGAGTGCAGTTGCTGGGTCAAATAGTAGTTACTTAGTTTTTCAAGAAACTGACAAACTGTTTTCTAGAGCCTATTTTACATCCCTTTGGCAGTATATGGCTAATTCAGTTTCTCTGCATTATTTCCTTAATAGCTAATGATGATAAACATCTTTTTATGCCATCTGTATATTGTTTCAGGTAAAACGTATCATGTCTTTTGCTCATTTTCTAACTGGGTATTTTTGAGATTTCTTTATATATTCTAGATATGAATCCTTGTCACATACATGGTTTATAAATATTTTCTCCTACTCTGTGGCTTGTCTTTTCATACATTTAATGGGGTCTTTCATGGAGCAAAAATTTTTCATTTTGATGAAGTCTAATTTATTTACTTTTTTATTGATCATGCTTTTGGTGTCAAATTTAAGAGCTCTTTGTCTAGCCCTAGATCCTGAGACTTCTTTTTCCCTAAGAGGTTTATAGTTTTATATTTTACATTTGAGTCCATGAATTTTTTTTTTTTTTTTCAGAAGAATCTGGCTCTGTCACCCAGGCTGGAGTGCAGTGGCACGATCAGCTCACTGTAACCTCTGCCTCATGGGCTCAAGCAATCCTCTCACCTTAACCTCCTAAGTAGCTGGGGTTATAGATATATGCCACCATGCCTGGCTGTTTTTTGTAAAGATGGGTTTTTGCCATGTTGCCTAGGCTGGTCTCAAACTCCTGAGCTCAAGCAATCCGCCCACCTTAGCCTCCTGAAGTGCTGGAATTACAGGTGTGAGCCACTGTGCCCAGCCTTAAATTTGTGA